CAACGGTGGAAAAGTGCTACCCCAGAAAGTGCTACCAAATCCCCCCCTCCCAAATGAGGTGACTCTCTCGTTCCTCTCTTACGGGAGCTGGCGTCTGGGCAGACAGACTTCTGGTGGTCCCTCCCATCCGATGACAGACACAAGTGAGCTCTGTCAGATGAGGGTTAATTTCCTCCCATGACAGTAAACAATTAGAGCTCACGGCTGCTTCTAACCAGGATTTGAACCCATGACCATGCACACGGTAAACAACGTGCACAGCCCCAGACTTGGGCACTCCCTGTGCCCAGCTAAACGGCTCTGTCCTAACCCGCTCATGGCCTCTCCTGGTGCCAGAGGCGTTTCCTGTACCAAGCAGCCACAACCTTGCAATGGAGATACACTGATGGTCTCTGTTCCTAGCTGCATGGCTTTACGTTTAGCTGGATCCAAACACACATTGCTTGCTTAGGCCCAGTTTACCAACCAATCCACATTGTCCTCTAGCAGTGACCCCCGGCCCTTGTTATTTACCATCCCCCGTCTTTGCTGAAAACTTGATCTGTTTTTTCCAGTCCATTGATACAACTGGTCAATAGCCCAGAAGATCCACCTGGCCACAGGGGGTCCAACCCGGCAAGAGCCAAGGGCCCGAACCCTGACACTGTCTCGGGGAGAGGAGGAAAAATGAGGCCCCTGGAGCTGGGCATCGTCACCCACCACAATGGGGGCCCTGATCAGGTCAGGGTCTGGGCAGTGACCAGCACAACGGGGGCCCTGATACCAGTTGGGTTCTGGGCAGTGCTTGGCACAATGGGGGCCCTGATATCAGTCGGAGTCTGTGTAGTGCCTGGCACAATGGGGCCCTGATCTCAGTCGGGGACTGGAAAGTGCCTGGCACAACGAGCCCCTGATCTCGGTCAGGGTCTGTGCAGCTGTGACCCTTAGCGCCCCTGCATGCCACCTGGCAGAAGTCCCTCTGTTCTGTAACTCCTCTGAGGCCCAACACACTCACTGCCCCTAACAGGGTGCAGTCATAGTATTTCTCTGCAAGGTGTAACAAAGGAAAGCTGCACACACTGCTCAGTAACACCATGGCCTGACATAGGCACAAACGGTGCACAGAGTTATGTGTCTGTGCCACACAGATGGTCCTCACACGTGTTTCAAGGACAGACTTGATCTGCAAGTTCATCCTGACACAGGAATGTGGCTTTACCACTCTGACTAAGGCCAGAGACTTGGGAAGTTACATGTGCCTGAGTCAACAGGAAAAGCCAGCTGAGAGCCGGGTGAGGGAGCCGGGAGTGTGTCAGCTGATTGGAGAACAGTCAGCGGGGCTGTCAAGGTTCCTTCCCCACTCTGAACTCTAGGGTACAGATGTGTGGACCTGCATGAAAACCTCCTAAGCCTACTTTTACCAGCTTAGGTTAAAACTTCCCCAAGGTACAAACTATTTTACCCTTTGCCCTTGGACTTCCACTGCCACCACCAAACGTTTATCTGGGTTTATTTTTATTAGGAAAGCGTTGTTTGGAAACGTCTTTCCCCCCAAAATCCTCCCAACCCTTGCACCCCACTTCCTGGGGAAGGTTTGGTAAAAATCCTCACCAATTTGCATAGGTGACCACAGACCCAAAACCCTTGGATCTTAAGAACAATGAAAAAGCATTCCGTTTCTGAAAAGAAGGATTTTAATAGAAGTAAAAAGTAAAAAAGAATCACCTGTGTAAAATCAGGATGGTAAATATCTTACAGGGTAATTAGATTCAAAACACAGAGAATCCCTCTAGGCAAATCCTTAAGTTACAAAAAGACACACAGACAGGAATATCCATTCTATTCAGCACAACTTAATTTCTCAGCCATTTAAAGAAATCATAATCTAACGCATATCTAGCTAGATTACTTACTAAATTCTAAGACTCCATTCCTGTTCTGTCCCCAGCAAAAGCATCACACAGACAGACCCAGACCCTTTGTTCTTCCCCCTCCTCCCAGCTTTTGAAAGTATCTTGTCTCCTCATTGGTCATTTTGATCAGGTGCCAGTGAGGTTATCCTAGCTTCTTAACCCTTTACAGGTGAAAGGATTTTTCCTCTGGCCAGGAGGGATTTTAAAGGTGTTTACCCTTCCCTTTATATTTATGACAGGGGCAGAGACCTTTACCTAAGGGTGCCCGTCTAAGGGCAACTGGACTATAAGGCGAAGGGGAGAGATCCTCTTTGTGCCCATCACTCCAAGGGGCTGGCTCTGGCCGTACAGTGGATCCCCTGCCATGTGGGAGTGTGAACCTGAAAATTTGCTTTGGGTCAGTGTGACCTGCTTCAGGAGGGGCAATCCGGAGCACTGAAGACTCGTGTCCCCTTTTACCTGTCTCTGCCTGGGATGCCGGCAGGCCGCAGGGAGCAGCCTCTTCGCGTCTATGCATTAGGCAGTCCTGAGCCAAAGTTTCGGGTTCAGGAGCCTGCCTGCAGCGCCACAGCTGGCCACTGGGCCCCCAGCATTGGTTAACTCTTCCCAGCCCCGATTTTCCCCAGATGATGAGTTCTGCATCGTCCTTCCCTCTCCTGGGCAGCTCAGATATTGAAGATCCATTGCCCTCCCAACCCCCGGGAGGATCAAACCAAGTCTATTCTTTTAACTGGAGTTATCAAATGGTTCACATGAAACACAGCACTGGATGGGTTCAGATTAAAGATAAAGCAAGTTGATTTACAGATGCAGTGAGAGCTTTCAAGTGAGTTCGAGCATCGGGCATGAAAGTCAGGAAAGACAAGAGAAATGAAGATAAAATGCTTCCCCGCAGCAAAAACTTAACAAGCTAGACTTGGTTGAAGGGAAAATCCTTCCCACATGGTCCCAGCAACCTGGCAAACCAGATTCTCAGATCAGGATCAACTCCCAAAGCCAAAAAGCTGGTCCCTTTAGCTTCTTAGGGGACTAAGAGATGATCTGGGGTGTTTTTGCCCCTCGCTTTAATAGTCCGGTCACCCTCTGAAATGCAGTTTCTGGACAGTTACCCCTCGTAAAGGTCATTCCCACAGTGAGGATGGAGACATGGGGTCTCATGGGGACAGAGCCCCCCTTTCTTGGCAAAGATAGGCCATTTGACAGGTGAGGGCCCATCAACTTTGCTGACTCCTGACCAGAGGCGTGAGCTTGTGCTTTGTCTTTGTGAACCCAGTTTAGCCTGCCCCCAGACTCGCCTGGCAAACACGTTGCAATCATAATCTCAGCTCATGTTCATAACTCTGGCTATGCATTTCGTGCACACATTCCACATGAATATTACCCATCAGGCTGTCATTACTCTTTAAATGCTACCTTGCATGGAATCCTTGGCATGGAGATTATTACAATAAATGCAGGGTGTGAACACGGGGACTCAGGGTCACACTGAGGTGCTTAGCTATGGGTTGTCGCTGGCTGAAGGCAGGTTGAGTCACCAAGAAGAGAGTTTATACTTGTGGTTTATCTGTGATCATTTTCTGTCTCTATTCTCTTTGCTATGTGGCACTTGAAGCTCTGTTCTTTAGTCCTAAATGTACCCTGGTTTTGTTACAAATTCATCTCACTGCCCCTAACACTGCCACAGTATTTCTCTGCAAGGCACAGCAAAGGAAAACCGGTGACACACTGCTCAGTAACACCATGGTGTAACGTAGGCACAAAAGGTACATAACGAGGTATGTGCCACACAGATGGTCCTTGCATGTGTTTCAGGGACACACTTGATCTACAAGTTCATCCTGACACAGAAATGTGGCTTTACCACTCTGACTAAGGCCAGAGACTTGGGAAGTTACATGCGTCTGAGTCAACAGGAAAAGCCAGCTGAGAGTCGGGTGAGGGAGCCAGGAGTGTGTCAGCTGATTGGAGAACAGTCAGCGGGGCAGAGACCTTTACCTGGCCCGTCTAAGGTCAGTTGGACTATAAGGAGAAGGGGAGAGATCACCTTTCTGGCCACCACGTGAGGACAGAGCAGCTGGGTCTCTCTGAAGCTTTGCATAGAGGGTTCCTAGCCACGTGGGAGAGGGACACCGAGAAGTCACATTAGGTAGGACAGGGAGCTTCGCTGTGGATTCTGGCTGGCTGAGGGCAGGTTGAGTCACTGGGGCTGGAGGTCGTATGTGTGTCTTCTCTGTGGACATTTTAGCCTCTGGTCTCTCTGCCTCATGGCACAGAAAGCTCTATTCTTTAGTCAGGACTGGACCCTGGTTCGTTATAAATGCATCTCAGTGCTGTGATATTGAAGGGAAGGGTGAGGACCCAGCAGAGCCACCAGGCTGGCCATGTCCTGGCTCTTTGGGGGTGGCGGCCTGGGTGATTTCTCTGCCTGTCCAGGCTGCCTGCTGCAGGGAGATGCTTCTGAAGAGCTGGGGAACTGGAGAGCCCCAAGGGCTACCTGTAAAGCAAGGCCAGGGTGTGCCAGGACCAGAGGAGTGTGCCGGGCCACCCAGCCGACGGGAGAGGCAGGGAGCAGACTCATTTTAGCAGCTGCAAATCTCTCTTGCTTTGAGGCAGGGGGGTGACGCGGTGATTTACAGCTCCGGACACCTGAAGAAACATCACAACAGCACCCAGTACAACAGGAGCCCTGATCTCAGTTGGGGTTCGGGCAGTGCCCGGCACAATGGGAGCCCTGATATCGGAGGGGTCTGTGCAGCACCCGGCATAATGGGGGCCCTGATTTCAGGCGGGGTCTGTGCAGCACCTGGCACAACAGGTACCCTGATCTCAGACTGGGTTAGGGTGACCAGATAGCAAGTGTGAAAAATTGGGCCAGGAGGTGGGAGGTAATAGGAGCCCATATAAAAAAAATCCCCAAATATCGGGACTGTCCCTATAAAATTGGTACATTGGGACACCCTAGTTGGGGTCTGTGCAGCACCCGGCACAACAGGGGCCCTGATCTCTGTCGGGATCTGGGCAGTGCCCAGAAGGTTCCGTGGAGAAGGCAGATCCCCACCCTGCACTGTCTCCATCCATCTCCTCCCTCTTTCCCCACTGCAGGTTGATCCAGGGACAGACTCAGCCATGGCCCTGAGGGGAACCCGCCCCACACTCCTGCTGCCCCTCGTCCTGCTGGTTGCCAGTCTGGCCCTGGCCCAAGAGGAGTCACGTTATGAGAAGTTCCTGAGGCAGCACGTAGATGCCTCCGACCCCAGCCCTCCGGACGCCCGGCGCTACTGCAACCTCCTGATGCGGCGCCGGGACATGGCCACTGCCCACAAGTGCAAACACCTCAACACCTTCATCCACAGCAGCGCCAACCAGATTCAGCCCGTCTGCGGGGATGGGGGGGAGCCGGCAGGAGGAGACCTGCGCCTCAGTGAAGACCCCTTCCCCCTCACCGTCTGTGAGCTCCAAGGAGGAGCCGATCCCCCCGACTGTGACTACAGCGGGTCCAGTAGCACCAGCAGGATCGTCATTGCCTGCGTTGATGGAGAACCAGTCCACTTTGAGACACAGGTTGAGAGTCAGGCAGGGGAGGGGAATGAGCTGTGATCCCTCTAAGGGACACTGAGTCCTCCCACCAAGTCCTGCATCCAAACCCAGACCTTACCAGGATCAACCCCCGAATCCTCCTTCAATCCAGCCTCCAACCCCCCTCAGATCCCCTCCCAAATCCCCCTCAGATCCAACCTCCAACCCTCCTCAGATCAACCGCCGAATCCCCCTCAGATCCAACCTCTGACCCTCTTCAGATCAACTGCCAAATCCCCCTCAGATCCAACCTCCGACCCTCCTCAGATCAACCGCCGAATCCCCCTCAGATCCAACCTCTGACCCTCTTCAGATCAACTGCCAAATCCCCCTCAGATCCAACCTCCTACCCTCCTCAGATCAACCCCCGAATCCTCCTCAGATCCAACCTCCGACCCTCCTCAGATCAACCGCCAAATCCCCCTCAGATCCAACCTCCGACCCTCCTCAGATCAACCCCCGAATCCTCCTCAGATCCAGCCTCTGACCCTCCTCAGATCAACCGCCAAATCCCCCTCAGATCCAGCCTCCGACCCTCCTCAGATCAACCCCCGAATCCTCCTCAGATCCAAACTCCGACCCTCTTCAGATCAACTGCCAAATCCCCCTCAGATCCAACCTCCTACCCTCCTCAGATCAACCCCCGAATCCTCCTCAGATCCAGCCTCTGACCCTCCTCAGAACAACCGCCAAATCCCCCTCAGATCCAGCCTCCGACCCTCCTCAGATCAACCCCCGAATCCTCCTCAGATCCAGCCTCTGACCCTCCTCAGATCAACTGCCAAATCCCCCTCAGATCCAGCCTCCGACCCTCCTCAGATCAACCCCCGAATCCTCCTCAGATCAACCGCCGAATCCTCCTCAGATCCAACCTCTGACCTTACTTATGTGCCAACTCTCTGGGGCAGGCCTGTCTCTTTGTTCTGTGTTTGTGCAGTGCCAGGCACACTGGGTTGCTGGGCAACTGCAATATGGATAATGATAATAATAATAATGGGCACACTGGGTGCAACTGCAATATGGATAATAAACCAAGGAGTTTTATGGACAGTCCTTCCATATTGGGGTTTGACTCCGGTTTTGTCATTAGCCCAGACTAATGGCTCAGGTGTGGGGGGGGGGGGGTTTCCAAATGGGATCTGAATGCCCAGCTCCTATTAACTTCCCAGAAGCGCTGTCTCTTCCCAGTCTCTGGTCTGACTGAGAATTAGAAGTGGAAAATTCTCAGCGACAGCCAAGCAGCCACATCCATGCTCAGGCTTGAGGAACGCGGCCTGCTATTCAGAAGCACCAAGCAGCCAAAACTTCTGCTGACCCAACAGGAACGTATGGAGCCCAGCAGCTCTGGAAAATGATGCTCAGGAAGTTTTCTCACCAGGCTTCCTCAGGAATTTGAACCCAGGAGTCCCAATATACCAGCGAACCTGCAAGAATTGAAACTTTAGGAAATGGTCCTAAGCCTTAAATTTTCTGTCCCAGTCTCCCTAGTTCCAGTTCTTGGCCCCACCTCCGTTTCCAGTAGCCAAATGGTACTGTTGCTTGAATAAAGTCATTATTCATTACAGACCCCCTTGAGGACCTAATCAGAAATGAACCCGAATGCTGCTTGATCTGCAAGGAGGCCATGTCTCTTCAGGCTCTGCCATGGTGGTTATAATTCGGAGCCCCCTGAGATGTGGCCATGAGGGTTTTGGGTGAACACCCCCCTGAACTTCCCCATCCTCCTCCCCCAGTGGTCAACCAGTTACATCAGTGTTGCCAATTTAGTGGTTTTACAATCCCCAACCCATACATTTGAACTCCCCCTCGTATTTCAATCCCTGGGGAAAACACTAGTTTGGGCTGAATCCTAATTCTAAGAGGTGAAAACTCTATGCACCGAGTTTAGCTAAAGTTTGTGGACAGAAGACCATGGTTAATTGCTGCTAGTAGGAGTCATTCAGCCATGCCTAGAGCATAGTAACAGATTTCAGAGTAGTAGCCATGTTAGTCTATATCCGTAACAAGGAAAGGAGGACTTGTGGCACCTTAGAGACTAACAAATATATTAGAGCATAAGCTTTTGTGAGCTACAGCTCACTTCATCGGATGCATACAGTGGAAAATATAGTGGGGAGATTTTATATACACAGAAAACATGAAACAATGGGTGTTACCATACAGACTGTAACAAGAGTGATCAGGAAAGGTGAGCTTTTACCAGCAGGAGAGCAGGAGGGTGGGAGGGGGGAAACCTTTTGCAGTGATAATCAAGGTGGGCAATTTCCAGCACTTTACAAGAACAGTAGGAGGGGAAATAAACAAGGGGAAATAGTTTTACTTTGTGTAATGACACATCCACTCCCAGTCTTTATTCAAGCCTAAGTTAATTGTATGCAGTTTGCAAATTAATTCCAATTCAGCAGTCTCTCGTTAGAGTCTGTTTTTGAAGTTTTTTTGTTGAAGAATTGCCACTTTTAGGTCTGTAATCGAGCGACCAGAGAGATTGAAGTGTTCTCCGACTGGTTTTTGAATGTTATAATTCTTGACGCCTGATTTGTGTCCATTTATTCTTTTACATAGAGACTGTAGGTGCTTAACAACTCAGGTCTGGAGCTCCACAGCCAGCTGACAGTCCTTTGGTATGTCTACACTAATCCCGGGCACTGATTCAGGTTTGAGCCATGCCCTCCTTCTGTCCACACACAAATGAGCTGGCATGACCAGGTGACGACTTTCAGTCTTCACAGGGGAAAAACAATGCTCCTTAACCAAGAGCAAGGCTGGGGGTTCTCCTTCTCAGGACGACAGCTGAGCTGCAGTGCTGGCAGGGCAGGGAAGAGCTGCGGGAAGATGAGGCGAGACAAGCTGGGCTGGAGGACGAGCTGAACTGATCGTGTGTTTTATCAAAGCCTCTTTTTAGGAAACCCAAAAAGGGGACAAGTGGGCAGCGTACTTCACCCCGCTCATTATTGTGTCCCCAAATTAGTCACACCAATTTTGGTCTATTCATTTCTGGTTCCACATCTTCTGTGTTTCACCATGCATGATTTCAGCAATCCTCGAATGGTATCCGTGGGGCCTTTTTGCTTGGATGAATCCAGCTTCTTCGTGTGGGTCACTTGCACTTGTTACAACATTCAGCATTGTTAACGATTTGGCCTGTTTTTCATGGCGGATGTAATGTCTTACACACTTTCCCATACTCTTTACATTTGAGCTCCCAACAGGGGTACACTTTGTAGGCTCCGTGGTCACAACAGAGGTCAAAGAGACATGACTGCAGAGTGAGGCATGTGTAGATTTACAGACTGTGTAGATTTACAGGGGTAGTCGATTATTTTTTGTTAAGGTCCAAATTGCTTGGTCAAGGTCTAGTCAAGGTCCAGACTCCAGAGAAAATAAGAAAACAATAATTATAATAATAAGTACAGGAAAAGATTTTGGAGTCTGTTCAAAAGCATTTGGCAGGCCGGATCTGGCCCGCGGTATGCCTATTGAGTACCCCTAGTGTAGAAGGCTCTGCCAGCTGGCTTGTGAGACGGGGTATGATGCTTACTTTGGGTGTTAAGCAGTTGTGAGCTTGAGCTAGAACCGGTTGTTAAATTTAGAAGCCCTTTTAGAACCAGTTGTTCCGCGAGGGACAACTGGTTCTAAAAGGACTTCTAAATTTAACCGGTCAAAAGTGGCACCTTAGGCGCCGACTCCATGGGTGCTCCAGGGCTGGAGCACCCAAGGGGAAAATTTGGTGGGTGCAGAGCACCCACCGGCAGCTTCCCACCCCACCCCCGGCCCCAGCTCACCTCCGCTCCGCCTCCTCCCCTGAACACGCCGCACCGCTCTGCTTCTCCGCTCCCCCACCCCTGGCTTCCCATGAATCAGCTGTTCGTGCGGGAAGCCGGGGCGGGCTGAGACGCAGATGGCGGCTTCGCCCTCAGGCCCAGGGAGGCAGAGGTGAGCTGGGGCGGGGGGGCGCGAGGAGGGCCACCCGCACCACAGCAGGTAACCCGGGGGAGGCGCGCAGGGGAATCGCTCCTCGCCCCAGCTCACCTCCGCCACCCTCAGCCGGAGTGGGAAGCTGCCCCCTGCTTCTCAGCCCTCCCTGGCTTCCCGCCAAACAGCTGATTCACAGGAAGCCGGGGGGGTGGAGAAGCAGAGCGGGGCGGTGCATTCAGGGGAGGAGGCGGAGCGGAGGTGAGCTGGGGCCGGGTGTGGGGCGGGGCAGGGAGCTGCCGGTGGGTGCTCTGCACCCACCAAATTTTCCCCATGGGTGTTCCAGGGCTGGAGCACCCACGGAGTCAGTGCCTAAGGCGCCACTTTTGGTGTGATCAGTGGGGGGAGCAATTGCTCCCCCTGCTCCCCCCCTAGCTACGCTACTTCACCCCTAGGAGCCAGAGGGACCTGCCGGATGCTTCCTGGGAGCTGCCCCAGGTAAGCACCCCCAGGACTCCCCACCTCACCCCCCCGGCAGGTCCCTCTGCCTCTTAGGGGTAGGGTAGGCACCCATGACGGTGGCCCATGAGACCCTCCTGCCCAGTTCTGGGGGCAGTCAGGGAACAGGGGAGGGGGCTGGATGGGGCAGGGGTCCTAGGGAAGAGTCAAGGGACGCGGGGGGTTGGATGGGGCAGGAGTCCAGGGGGCATGGGTGGGCAACGACCCCCTCGTGGGGTGAGGAGGGAACCAGTTGTTAAGATTTTGGCAGCTCATCACTGGTGTTAAGTGGGTCAGGGTTCCAATCCTGGATCAGACCTGTTTTGCAAAGAGGCTAGGTTTGGGAAGAGGAGCAGACATGCTTGGGCAGCAACCGTTGCTAATACGGGATGAAGAGCGCTGGAGAGGCTGAGCGTGGGTTAGAAAGTCCTGCTTTAATTGGTGAATATATTGAGTGCCTAACTCTAAAGCTGGTTTGAAAACAACTCGTGTAAATCAGTCCCGTCCCCCTGCCCTTTACACCAAAGTCTGTGAAACCCCCTCACACAGGGAGCAATTGGCAGCAGTGGGATTTGAACCCACACCTCTAAAGGCACAGCCACCCAGCCCCT